AATGATAATATTATTCATACCAAACATTTAAAAAAATTATGTACATATTAAGCTTTAGATATTGTTAATTAATACATTTACAGCCTAACAAATGTCCTCCACCGCTGAACATAGACCTCCCACACAGTTTGTCTCCAAATAACTGCAGTTGCCAATTCTCCTGCCAAGCTAGGCAACTATCACAAAACCTATAACTTTTGATACTGACTAATGGTAACGGTAAGTATATTATCATCAAATTTTTTCTACATTATTAATTGAGAATATTATCTTATGTTGTTGTGTTAGTGTGTACCTTAAGATTAAGACTTATTTATTTATTTATTATTTTATCTATATTTATATTTATTTTTATATTAGCATGATATATTTTTTTTTAATAAATATTGTAATGTAATTGTTCCTAATGTATAATAGAATTAATGGAATGCAATAAAGTTTTGTGCACCTGATTTCAGGCAATACATATTTTGTGAAATTAAAAATACTTTGCCCAATATTTATGTACTTGAATCCAAACATGTTTTCAGGTTGATACTTACATATTATTTGTGACGTCTATGTAATATGGAAAATGATTGAAGAGTTGTAGGGCAATAAGGAGTTTCCTTTAAAGCTGAACATAAAAGTGTATGTATATGTATAACATTATGTGATTCATATTTATAGACATAACTACTAATCACAATAACAATTATTATTGAACAATGCGAAAACATTATTGTACTTGCTGATATCCCTAAAGTTTCTATAATCCTACCAAATCAAAAAGTACACGTTTGTTATGACTTTAAGCTTTCGAATGACCGTTCAGATTAAGGAGCATTATCAGGAAGAATTTACAATTTGGGAGTCCAAATATTTGACAAAATACATCACAAAGTTCATTAAAAACATGTAATGTTACACTTTATATTCAAAACAATAGATATTAATCAGTACAAGTAGCAAATGTAAGCACAAAACAAACTTACCGATGAAAGGTTATATTATCAATTTTTCGTTGACTGATGCTGTTGCATCCTAAAATGCTACAATTTACCATCTTTTTCACCTTACCTAATAACTAAGATCCACAAAAAACACTAAATTCAATTACCTGTTTGCTTATAATATCAATATTATTCAAAAGAGCTTGACATCGTTAATGTCAAATAAAGGAGGGAAAACAATCAAAAACGCATACCTAGAAAAAGACAATAAATATAGATTTGCTTCTCCTTTACTCTTATGTCTAACTATATACGTGCATTCCTTTCACACGCTGATGACGTCACTGAATGTTTAGTCTATAAGATACTATGTCCATGATCTACGCGCTAGATACTATGTCTATGCTATTCACCAATTAAGGCAGGGAAAGGTCTTAGACCATACAGCCTTATCGGTTGATATTTTGTTCACAAAACTCTTTGTATTATGCTGAGTCTCCGCTAGGAGTAAAAGTATTATGTGATGCTGAGTTACTTCGAAATGTAACGCACGTTTTTGGAAGATTTTGACGACAGCTTAATCCGGCGGACCATTTATGACGATAATATCTCAAGCTCCCTAAACGTACTTATTACATATTAATAAGCAGTAAAAAAAATAAAAATAAAAATAAAATTAAATAAGAAAAGTCATATAATTATTTAAAAATAGAGATGTTTTGAACAATGAGGCTTTAGTGAACGTATTTAAAGATGACCTGGATGATTTAAGGATGACCTACTACCTAAAGTACACAGCGCACTTACTGAAGGTCGTTAGATACACGGACTTTACGGACTTATACAAAGAATGGAACGTACTTCCAAGTAGGCTGGTAGGTGACATTATGCAGCAACAGCCCATATATAACAGCAGTACTCTATGAACGACCGGTGTATATAGGGTAAAAAGCGGACCCAGCGCACCCTGACTAGGACACCTGATATCCCTGCTACTGCTGCTATTCTGGCTTGGATTTGATATTGAACCGACTTCAAAAAGGAGGAGGATCTCAATTGAAGTGTATGTTTTTTTGTATGAATATTATGCCAAATCTTCGCAGATTTTAAACCAATTTTGATGATTATTTCTTTATTAAATAGGTTATACTTCAAGGGTAGTCTCATATAAATTTAGAGAAAAAATTCCACCCCTAAGGGTAGAAAATAAATAGCTTCTTTTTCAGCAATGTCGATGAAGTCGGTTTGTACTTATGTTAAAAGTTATAATAATTTATTTAAATTTTTAATTACTTGACACAATCATTACATTTTTGTTTTATTTACTAACGCGGAAGACGAAGTAGTCTGTAATTCATTTTTCTACCACTATAAAACATAAATTTTATTTTTATTAAAGTTAAAAATAAATAAAGTTACAGTCTATATACCCACATAACACTCCGGCACAGGCCTACTCATATTTCTTAGAGGGTATTAGCCCAATTAATTGTTTACCACGCTGCTCCAATGCGTGTTAGCGGATTTCGCGCGTTTACTTATTATATATTATTAAATTTATTTTTTAGACATCCGGTTTCCACCCGATGTTTTCCTCCAACGCCGAGCACGTGGTAAATCGTCTCTTTTAATTCCAATTAGTAATTTCAAATGTGCTGGCGGGGCATAAAAGCTGCGCGAGCAATCTGCGCTACCACGGCTCGAATCCTTAGTTTTATTTAACGTGTTGTGGCGTTGTAAGAATATCCACTATCCCAATTCATCCCGTGGGTGTCGTAAGGGGTTCAGAGGGAAACTGAAACAGAGAATGAGCAGCAGCATCTTCCTGATAACAACTGAAAATCGTTTGATTTTGCGATCGCCAACATGCTTGCCAAGCGTGGCAACTATGGCAAGGTCTCCTTATGAGCCAATCTGACGGTGAGTCCTATGTTCAGCAGTGGACTTTTAAGGCTGTTATGGTATAGATCATAGAATATGTATTATAGTATTCTATGGTATGGATAGTAATAACGGTATGGTATAATAACAAGTTTTAACTAAATACTTCGATAATTTATTTAAATTTATTAAAAATCACATAATTACATCAATTTGATGATACATTTTTTTATCACAGCAATAAAAAAAAACCTTATTATTAGTATTGCATTTACCTCTAAAAATCAATTTCACTTTAATATGAGTATCATTTAAAAGTAAACATTATTTTAACATATTATATTACATTTAGATAATTATCATAGTTATAATTATAAGTAGTGTCCAACCGAAGGTCGATTTCTGGTCGAAGCAGAAGCCGAAACTGATTAGTCGGCTATCACCGCAACCTCCGGCCAATACCGAAGCCGAAGCCGCAGGCTTAAAAACCCTAAGAAGTTCCGTTGAAGATTGGCTAAAATTAAATAATATAAATGAAATATTGAATAAAGGTAATTTTAAACATCTCGAGAAGTTGATGTAGAGATGATAAAAATTGTCACTGTCACGTCAATAGCGCTCTTTCCAAAACTTCGCCCCATTTTGTCTGAAGGTGGTTTTTAGGCCGAAGGTGATTGAAGCCAAAGCCGAAGCTTCGGGCGGACACTAGTTATAAATCAATAATTTAAGAACTAATTATTATCACGATAATAAATAAATATCCACACAAAGGTCCAACACGGTAAATTAACGTTCATTGTGTTCATTTTTAAATTATTAATTTTTTCAATCATTTTCATTCAAGTTCAGACTCGGAAACAGAGAAAATGACAGTACTCGCTGTGTTGAATTTCTAGGTAATACTGAAACAAAATTATTTCATGTAATAAGATCTTTATCACTCAAAATTCATAGACCTTACATTTTTACTTCAAATATTTTCTTATATCACGTATAGTTTTCGTGATAGTCATATACCTCGTTTTTCGATAGTTCAACTACTTGCAACTACTTACACACAAGTTCTACTGTTAAGTCGCGGGTAGTAGTAATCACTTAGCTAGTGATACATAATATGCGACTGTCCCGCTGAATGCGATAAAGTCTGCCACTTTAGTATCCTGCAGCAAAAGAAAGGGGTCGGCTGTGGTGTGAGCGGGGAGGGAGGTAGCTCCCATCTCTGCAGAAACTTAAAGTTTCTTTTTATATTCGTTGTAGAGGCACGCTGCAGCTATATTATGCTTGTAGCACGAATGGGCCGGTTCGATTGTGATACTACCACGCTCTCACAGAATACCAGCGTATATTAACAGCTTAATGATGCTGTGTTTCGTATGATAAGTGTAGAGAACCGCAGACCCTTTTTACTGGAAACGAGGCAATCCATCTTAGTCCTCAAGGGTGACAACGCATCTGCATTTTGATTCATATCGAAGATAAATATAGACGTCTATAGGCCACAGCATCAACTTACCATCTGGTGAACTGTGCTCGTTTGTCACCCTTATTCTATAGAAAAACAAATATACAATATGCATTTCTGGACATTTCATGTTAAAATTCAGTTAAGAGTTAAGCTTTAGAAACAAAATTAGTCAACTTGGGGTTGAGGCGATGGGGAGTATCACCCCCACCAATTGCCTTCGCCTTGCATGCATAGTTTTTTAACGCAACGTGTAATTTGGTGTGAACCCGGTTTTGTAAACCCCTACTACATAAAATGTACGAACGATTTTTTTTTAATTTATTACTTCAACTAACCTTAAAACTTAAGAGAACCGGAGACCCTTTTTACTGGAAACAAAACATTCCATCTTAGTCCTCACGGGTGACAACGCATCTGTACTCGTATTTTAATTTGTAATCTAGGATAGATGTAAATGTCTATGGGCCGCAGCAACTACTTACCATCAGGTGAACTGTGTGCTCGAAATATTCATATTGTCCTCGGCCTTGGAGTTTGAAATTTGAAAATTGCCCAAAACAATTTCAAAACCGTTGATGTTCGAACTTTGAAATCTTGTACGAGGTCGTAAATCTTGAGTTACGTTTTATGAACCTCTTAATTTTAAATCTTAAATAAAACTTACGTTGAAACAGTAGTAGACGCACTGACTGATAGTTAATACACAGAAATATTTTTTTAAATCACGTGGATAGATAAGATCCTTTCGATTCTTCCGATTTGCTGATTAACGGTGGAATATTCTCCTGATTAATTTTAGCAGAACTACTTTTATTTTTTCTAAAACTATTGCGAAACATCTTGCTTTCATCGGCGCATTTAGTCGTTATACTTGTCCTGAAAAAAATATATTGTAATTATTTTCATATATGTACTTACAAACAATTCAGTATATTAATTTAATAGATTTTTTTTTAATTTCTGCTATACCTAACAACACTCTCTGGCACACGACAATGATCAACAACAGTTTGTACGATGTCGCTCACAAGCGCAGGATCCAATTGTTTCTTTGCTGGCTTATTAGGAAATGCCGGTGACGGTTTGCCCGTAAGAGAATGTGTTGCGAGCACACTGAAAACATAAAGAAATACTATGTTTCTAAACTATTATAACACTATATGTTAATACTAACGTTTATAAAGTTGACAACATTTAAAAGATTCAAATAGATTACCTCCTAGGGAAAACTGCTCTCAATAATTTTCGGGTTGCATTCGTGTGAGTCGACCAATCCATATTTTTTAAAAGTCGACTAGGTACAAATGCATGTCCATCACCAATTGGAATCTGTAAATGAAATACCTATTAAGCTTCCTCAGAAAAAAAAAACACTGTACGATTAACTTCAGAAAAAATGCATTTTTCATCATCATCATTATTATAAAGTTTGTAAACTGTGGACGTGTTTGTATTACAAACAGTTGAACATAAGCCTTCCTCGAGGAATGCCATAAAATGTTTATTTAATGATTTGTAATTACAACTTACCAAATCGACGTTAGCATTTGTTCTATTTTTTCTTCTTCGATCTGTTTTGTTATTAATTTCCTCGTCTTCAATAATTTTATTAGATATTTTGTGTGTCGATGATTTCTATAAAACAAAAAATATATGGTTAATTTTTCTATTACAATTATATTAATTTGTAACCTCAACTTTTGATCTTGGCCTTTTCCCATTTAACCACTTGTATAATAATGATATCCTCAAAACGAATTTAGGTAACAGGGCGGCCAGTCTCAATAGAGACTAGCCATCTGAGCAGGACAGGATTACGGTGTCTCTATTCCCTTACTATCATAGTCCAATAGGATGATATTTCGATACGAGAGAGAGAGAGAGAGAGAGAGAGAGAGAGAGAGATGAGGCGCAGGACTAACAGGATGCGCAGGAATCCGAGTACTAAGAATTTCTTGACAGAAAATCTAATACATAAATTGATTTTGGCCCGACCCGGGCTTTGAACTCGGAACGATATGATCAACAATCGCTTTTGCGACCACTAAACCAATGCAGCAGTCGTAAGTCGTAAATATGTATAAGGTACGAGAGGGCAATATTGTCACCTTAAGCTTTGCCGCCCTATAAAACCAAAACTAGGAAGAGGACAGAGACAAATACACAATGTCGTATACTATAACTAATATATTAAGAAAAAAAGAGCAAACAAGCCTTTACAAAAATGAGGAACACTTCGAAAAATGAACTAAACAAAAACTACACTACCCAATACCACAGCGGTGACACTCTCTGTACGTGAGAGTTGAAGCGCCGGCGACATTAGGCCGGAGCGTGTAACGTTAGAGTTGATACCGAACGAAAATGGAATATTATAGACTTGTGCCAAAGAAGATAAATAGTAGGTATATGTTATATAATGTAAACTTCTGTATTTAAATGGTGAAAGATACGATCAATTTTAAATCAACTTTTATTAAATATCTTTACAGATGGGGAAAATTAAAATTTCCGACAAAACAAAATATGCACGACAGTTAATGGTAATCTTAAATAAAAATTAACGGCTCCGTGGCGCAGTGGCTTAGCAATGAGTTGCTTAGCCACTGTGCCACGGAGGGGCCGCGGGTTCGAATCCCGCATGGAACAAGTATATGTATGACCTACAAATAATTGTCCTGGGTCTGGATGTTTTCTCTTGTGCAATTTGTGTTTGTAAACTGCCTCTGCGATACAGGAGAAAATCCTAGTGTGGGGGTAACGTTTTTTTTTTTTAAGAAAAAAATACAACAATTTTTTTTCTTTTATTTTTTTTTTTATTTTTTTTTCTTTTAAAAACGTTACCCCCACACTAGGATTTTCTCCCGTATCGTGGAGGCAGTTTACAAACATATATTGCACAAGGACAAACATCCAGACCCGGAACAATTATTTGTAGGCCATACAAATACTTGTTCCGTGCGGGATTCGAACCCGCGGCCCCAAGCGTTGCAACTCATTGCTAAGCCACTACGCCACGGAGCCGTCTAAAAAATTAACCATAAATAATAAAAATTAACCAACGCTTAGTATTTCAGTACGCAATAATCAGTATTACCTACTACCCTTTAAAATTACTTACTCTTATTTATTTTAGGGTTTTCGATTACTTTTATAATTTTTACTATTATTTCTAACAATTGAAAAAATTCGTAGCCGTATGTATAATTTTTTTAGAAAATCCATAGGGAAGCATAGATAGATAGATAACACTTAATTGTACGTCAAAAAATAACATAAATATTAACAAAAATGAGAAAAATAAATGTGGTACAATGGGTGGTCTTATCGCTAAGAGCGATCTCTTCCAGACATCCTTTGGATGGACAGGATTGCAAGAAAACAATAAAAACGTGTGTGGTTTGGCGATAAAAATAACATTATTTTTATTAAAGCCATAAAATAGAAATACAGAATGGTATATATGTACATAGATAAGATAAATACATACATACATACACACACACACACACACACACACACACACACACATAAATATAAATATAAATAAATATATATATATATATATATATATATATATATATATATATATATATATATATTCATTTTGATTTGAATTGTAATTTTTATTATACAATTGTTTGTTGTTCTTTATAAAAAATGTAAATATATATTTTTATAAATATAAATATATAAAATTACAAATATATACTTTAAAACTATTATATATAACGTAAATGTGCATACATATAAATAAATATTGTAACTAAATAAAGGTACAATAATTATATACAAATGAATAGGCATTATTTTTGTATAAAGCGCAGCCCTCAGCCAGGGCAGTCGGCGACGGCCCGTTCCACGCCCCGCGCGCCTCTCAAGGCGCCCGCACACATCCAGACACCCACACACAGCTGCAAATGATTTTACGTGCACACATGCTTAAGTGTCGTTTCTTTTCGCGTAGTGTATATATTCTTTGCCTTTATTATTTGATTGACTGGTGAAGAGCTATCGTATCATAAAGCCACCTATGCAAATAAGGCTGTAGTTTTTGAGTTATAAGAAAGTGACTATATTAATCGGATGACCATATTACTCACGTACTACAGTGTATAACGATATTATTAAATTAACATAATAATTTTAAGCGAATAGGTATCATCCATTCATCTATTAAATTATTACCTATCAAAAGTCCACTGCCGAAAATAGGTCTGCCCTATAAACTGCCTCATAGGGGAGGTTTTAATTCATTTAATTATTTTTTTTTATTGCCAAGAAGGTACACCTGTTTGATTTCACTCTGTCGCTTCTTACCGCACCCACGGGATGATAAGTGATTCTCTTGCGCTCTCAATACATGGCTAATAAAAGCACTGTATGTATTTTGTACATTGATTTTGTATATCAATTTGACTTACCCAATCACTATCTGCGCATATTGTATAAGGTTTGTGTTTTGACGACGACGTTCGAGGAATTGCAACATTTTCATCGCTACTGTCGCTACTGTTTAGATGACAAGACTTAGATGTCAAGTTGTTACGCTCTTTTGAAGCGTAAGATGAAACCGATGACTTCATTTTTAGTTTATTTTCCAATGTCTCAATCTTACAGCACAAGTCTTTGATAATTGACTCCATTTTATCGATTTGTGGTAGCTGATATTCCACTTCAGTTTGTGTGCTTCTATCACAACTTTCCTTAATATCATCTAGTCTAGATTTAGTAATGACTTCAGACCAACACACTTTTTGCGGCTTGACCAGTTGGCTTTTTTGAATCAAACGTTTCTTGCAAGGCAGTTCCAGCTGTTTAATAACGTTGAGCTGACGCCTTCTGGTAAACTCTCTGGGACGTTTTATACTGCTAACACCATGATAATTCATACGTTTATTTAGCTAAAACAATAATATAATAAAAAATAAAATATTTTCTCTCTGCTATTTTTAAACATAATCCAATAATAAGTAATTTCCTCTCGTACCTGTAAATTGTTTTTTAAGTAAGACAGACTTGGTGATGTTTTTTGAACACTAGGGCCAGTAAGCGTTGTTTTCAAATTCGACTGTAAAATAGAAAAATTATATTATAATAAAGAATCGATTAATTGTTTGCGTTTTGGCAGAATTGTAAGAAATCTATGTTTAAAACTTACATTTCTTTTAAGAAACAAACTATTCAAGAAAAGGGCTGCAGTTGCTGAACTTTCAATCTCCTCTTGAGCGGAACTATTAGCTGTAAAAAAAAGATACATGAATAAGGTTTTCTGTTCAATACAGGTATTTCTATCGTGAACATTTATATTATGATAAAGATATTATCATAGACTAAGGCTGGTCTAACCCTATACCGTGTAGTGGGGGTGTGAGAGAGTCATATTATTATTATTCCGTGCGTGTCGTAAGAGGCGACTGAGGGATACTGATTTGTAGATGGAGATGGGCAGCAGCGTCTTCCTAAAAACGACTAAAAATTAAAAACTGCTGTTACCAACCCGCTTGCCTAGCGTGGCAGCTTTGGCAAATAGCTCACTTATGAGGCAATCTGTGTGGGAGCGCCTATGTTCAACAAGGCACTTTACTTTAATAGGCTGTAACGGTAACGGGTGCCGTAAGACGCGATATGGAAACTAAAAGGAAATATACAGCAGCACCTTCCTGATAACACCTCAATAATAATAATAATAAAGAAAACAGCGTTTCTCAACCAGCCTACCAAGCGAGGTAACTATGTACAAATATCACCTCTATAAGGCAATATATGGGGGAGACTTTAGTCAGCTGTTAACCTTTAATGAAATAAATGAGGCCAAAACGTATTTCATTAAATATATTTCGATTTTTAGATAAACACATTATTTTTAAAATAACCTATATGTGGTAGAGCCATGCTGCAGTTATATTAATAGTATAGTTGTAGCACGAATGGGTCAGCTCGACCGGGGAAAGATCACGCTCTCACAGAATATCAGCGTAAAATGGCAGCTTGACACTGCTGTAGGCTAACAAACGTGGATAGCTGTAGATGTCTATGGGCCACAGCAACCACTTACCATCAGGTGGACTGTGTGCTCGCTTATCACTCTTATACTATAAAAAAGTACTTCCACGCATATGTTGCAGCCCATACACACATGCATATACACATGAACATATTAAGCACGCAGATGTGCACACGCACCCGCACACACATTTTCTAAGACATTTTTTTAATGATATTATCGGTATTCCAATAAGTTTAATTATATGGGAAAAATAATAATAAATTGATGTGTTTTGAACAAAAAAATCTTGTATCGTTATATACTTAAATGTGTAAATTATTGTTAACTCAATTTAAATGGTTTGTTAGGAATATCGAAATTTATAGTCCGTTGTAATTATCATCATCAATGGCCTCAGACGATTAAACACTTTTGGCTGGCTTTTGCTGACTATAAGCACCAATCTGGATGCTGCAATAGTGTCCACATTTTGTGCAGGCGTGTGTCGTAAATGATCGGGTAGTGTCGCTTTCGACCACATAAAAATAGATAGTATTC